TAGAGAAATACTCAAGCCCAGATCACAAGAGAATGTTATGTGGCAAGGCTTCATTTATCCAAGATTATCAGGCAACAAGCATGAAGTTTAAGATTAAACTGCTCCAGGATGGAAATCCAAATCCAATATTTTGTTCGTAGATCTCTCTGAACCTCTATATCCCCAGCTATGAAACAAAAAACATTCACAACCCTCCTTTATAGAGTTACTTTGAGGACAAAAGATAAGATAACATGTGGGAGCTTTAAGAACTATAACTGGTACATTTTATGTGTCCAATAAATGTTAATGATTTATTTTTCTATTATGATTATCGCTGATGAGGGCTGCCCATATTTGTAAATTTACAACATAATTGTACTTTATTTCTTAAGCACTAAATCTTATTAAACCATCTCTTTCCTATACTACTTCTTTAAAAGTAAATTCCACAAATCCCCAAATTAAAACTTGTATCTCCTCTGGACAGATGGCTACACCTATTTCTCATACCCTCTACTCCCAGTGCCCTTCTGCTGCCACCACAATAGCCACAGAAATACCTGAAGCTTTTAACATCCCAGAATTCAAAAACAGGGAAAGAAAAGAAGCTACAGAATCTAAAACTGAGTGGTAGATTGCTCATAATTTGGAACATGAAAGAAGAATATGAACGCTTAGAGTAATGGGTACCAACCAGCGAGTTAAAAGAATTTTCAAAACAACGACTTTGCTTTATTATCTTCTACTTTTCCAACCCCAAATCGATTGGTAAAAGTGATGTGCCAACTCTGCTGATAGCTACCACCCAGCCAGTGTCCTTGGATACTTAATCTTTGTCCAGTGTTTATGAGCCACATCTTAAATACATCCATAGATTATAACCTGGTTTCCACTTATCGTCCAATCTTCCACAGGCAACTTAATAACTTTCCACACTGGAAACACACCAAGTACTTCCAAACCTCTCTCCCTCGGACTTTGCAGTTCTCTCAGATCTTATCACCCTTTAAGACGTCATAGAAACGCCATCTCCTCCCTGATACCTTCTGATTTCCCTCCTTTCAGTAGAATTAAGTATCACCTTCTGTGAACTTTTTCAGGACTTTGCTTATGTTTCCATGGTTACAATGACTATGTATTAAATAGAGATATGTGGCACGCATCCCTCTGAGTGCTCTCCGGGTGCTGTTATATAATCTTTACTATAAACTTGTAAGACACGATTACCAACCCTATTTACAAACAGGAAAGCTGAAGCTCTGAGAGTTGGATTTCCCAATGATCACGCAGGCAGAATTCCAACCATGTTCCAGCACCTCCCAAATCCACAAGTTTTTCCCGCTGCCATTCTGCCTCTCTCGGATGGGCCTGTTTCCAGTTAATTAGTTAACTGCCTACATATCTGTCTCTTCCATGGGATTACAGCAAGGCCCTTCAGGCCAGAGACCAGGGCATGTTCTTCTTTATAATTGTAAACAACAATCCACGTATATCTCTTTATACAAGGTGCTAATAAGAATTAAAAGAGACGATACACGCTAGCACAGTGTCAGGCAGCCAATAAGCACCTCAAATTGGTTAAGCTTATTGCTGTTATTCTTGTGTACACATCAGGTGCCAAGATGTGAAAAAAAAATTCTGAAGTGAGTTTCATGTTTGAGGATCTGGTGAGAGAGACACACACTGCTTGGTTTGGCATTTCCCATAACGCTACCCAATCAGAAGCAGTGATAGTTAAGAAAGTGTCCACGACAGGGTCAATTGTTTTCTTTCCTTTTCTATTACCTATATACGTTC